GATGGATGGATGGATGGATGGATGGATGATGGATGGATGGATGATGGATGATGGATGGATGATGGATGGATGGATGATGGATGGATGGATGGATGGATGGGGGGCACCCTGTGAGAGCAGAACAGGGTTGGGGGGTTGTTCTGAGCAGCCACTTGTGCCCCACATAGCTCCCAACCTCTTGGATGCTCCGGTGCCACTCTGGGATGCCCGTCAGGGGATGGGCAGCTGCCCTCTCCAGCTCCCAGCCTGACCACCACTGGCTGGAGAAGGGACATCCAGGTGGGAAACATCCCTGCAGGAATGGGGACAGAGGTGGGACCTGCAGCAACCCCCAGGGTGCACATGGGAGGAGAAAGAGGAGGAGGAAGCAATGAACTCCCTGGATCCTCCAGGTCACATCCAGGCTCCTCCATTCCAGCTTCATTCCTTCTCCCACACACAAAAATCCACGCCCTGAGGCCGAGCCAGGGCAAAGCCTGGGAAGGGGTGGGATGGGAAGGCAGGAACCACCCCGTGGCAGCAGGGAGCAGCCCCAGGGACATTGACCCGTGGTCCTCAGTGCTGGAGGGTGCAGGATCTGGGATGGAGGTGTCAGCCAGGTCGTTCTCCTGGACTGCTCATTCCCAGCTTTTCTCTCCTCTTCTTTCCTGGGCTGTAGAGCCTCCCTGCATAGGATAAGCCAGGTCCTGCTCTCCTGCAGATTTCGACTTTGCAACTCAAAGAAAATGAACCCAAAAGTGCCTTTCAAACCTGTAGGAATCCAAACCCCCCTCGAGATGGGGGTGGGGGGGCAGCCTTGCATCACCCTGGGGTTTCTCTTCCTGATTTTAACAATCTTGGCCTTATTTTACCTTTTTCCCCCCTTTTTTTTCTTGCTGACACCTCCTCAGAGCCTGGCCCTGGAAGGTTTTTATTGCTTGTGCAGAAGCGTCCCCGGGCACCCACACTGGCAGATGCTGGATCTTAAATCCACGGATGAGAAGCTCTCAAGGCACATCCGTGCCCGGGGTGGGAGGGGTCTGTCTTTGCCACGGGGCTGGGGACCCCCCCAGCTCGGCACAACTTCCCCAGTCCCACATTGCCCCGGAAGACATTTCTCTTGGAAATTAATTAAAAAAAAAAAAAAAAGAAGAAAAAATCAGACTAACCAACTCCAAGAAAAGAACCACAAACAACTACCAGGAAAGTTTTCTGAAGAGTCCCTTACAAAAAAAGGGAAAGGGTGGGGGGAAAACAGGAAGCATTTTTCTCCCAGGCCCAAACACTGCTGATCTTTTGGCTCAAGAAATGCATAGTTGGTAGCAAAAACCTTGCTACATCAGGAGCCCCTGGGACGGCCCCTGAGCCCTGAGGGCTCTCCGCAGGGCCGGGACATTGGGGTTATCCCTCCCCGACCCTGAGGTCCCCACAGTTCTGACCCTGCTGGCCTGTGGCACCTCTGTCTCCAGCCATGTCCCAGCACAGCAAGGTCACACTGCCAGCTCTGGGACACGGCCGGTGCTCCCACAGCCCTCCTGGCCCCGTCCCGGGGCCGGGCAGCAGACAACGGTTCTCCTCTGGGAGAGGCTCAGATCATCTTCATGTTGAACTTCCTGGCCCCTCCTTGGCCGGTGGTGGTGGTAGGACCGTCCACCTTGCGGAAGGAATATTCCACGGAGAAGTTGTTCTTGTGCTGCCCCCGGCCGCGGCTCCAGACGAAGAGCAGGAGGAAGCAGAAGAGCACCACGCCCAGGAAGGTGATGCAGCCCATGGCCGTGGAGACCAGGATGGTCTTGAGGTCCAAGGTGAACTTCAAGAAGACCTGGGTGTCGTTGTGGAAGGTGTCGTTGAAGTCGCTGAGGTACAAAGTCCGGTTGGCGTGGTGGGCGCCGTCGGCCGGGCGCCCCTTGACCGTCAGCGTGGCGAAGTAGGTGTCGTTGCCGCCGGCGTTGCTGGCGATGCAGATGTAGGTGCCACTGTCCTGCACCTGGGCAAAGCGGATCTCCAGGGTGCCCCCGGGCAGCACCGTGGCCCTCCCCGTGCTGCGGGTGGTGATCATGCGGTGCTGGGGGGACACCCAGGCGATGGAGGGGTCGGGCTCCCCGTCGGCCCGGCACAGGAAGGACACGGACTGCCCCTCCCGCGCCGTCACGTGCTGCAGCTTCCGATCCCGGATCTTGGGCTTCTGGCACGTGAAGTACTCGAAGAGCACCGAGTCCGGGAAGTCGCGCAGGGCGTTGCCCTGGATTTCGGGCGGCGAGGAGCACATGGGCTGCTGCCCATCGAAGTTGAGCGTCTTCCGGCGCTGCAGGATCCAGAGGAGCCGGCAGTCGCAGGCCAGCGGGTTCCTGTCCACCCGCAGCGTCTCCAGCGTGTTGACCGAATGGAAGGTGCTCTCCTCCAGCGTGGACAGGAAGTTGCTGGAGAGGTTGAGCAGCCGGATCTGTCTCAGGCCGGAGAAAGCCTGCGGCTCCACGGACACCAGGAGAGCACCCACGATGTGCAGCTCCTGGAGCCGGATGAGGTCTTTAAAGGAGCCCTTCAGCACAGTGCTAATGGGGTTGTAGGACAGGTTGAGGTACCGCAGGTACACCAAGTTCCTCAAGGCAGCGGCGGGCACAGCTGTGATGTTGGTGTAGGTGATGGACAGCGAGGTGAGGTTCAGGCCCTGGAAGCTGGTGGGGGACACCTCCTCCAGCAGCGGCCAGTTGTCAATCTCCAGCTGCAGGAGATTGTAGAGCTTCTTGAAGTTCTGGTCCTCCAGTGCAGAGATGCTGAGGTGCCGGAGCCGCAGCACCTCCAGGTTCTGGAGGTAGGACAGCGACTCGGCTGAGATGGAGGTCAGGTTGCACTTCTCAATGGTCAGCTGCTCCAGGCCCAGCAGCCCCGAGAAGGCGCGCTGGGAGATGTACACCAGGTCGTTGTCACCCACCTCCAGGCTCTTCAGGTTGCGCAGGTCCTGGAACATGTAGTCCAGCAGGATGACGAGCTTGTTCTCGCTGATGTCCAGCAGGGTCAGGTTGGTCAGCTTGGTGAAGACCCCCGGGGGGATGAGCTTGAGCTGGTTCCCCCGCAGCCGCAGGGTCTGCAGGTTGAACAGGTTGCTGAAGGCGCCGGGCTCCACATTGGAGATGATGTTCTCGCTGAAATCCAGCTCCTCCAGCAGCGGGTACGGCGCCAGGTCCCCGGGGTTGAGGCAGCGGATGCGGTTCTTGTTGAGCTCCAGGACCCTGGTCTCGGTGGGGATGCCCTCGGGGATGGCGGTGAGGCGCTTGCGGTGGCACAGCACCGAGCGCAGCTGCGGGGCGCACTCGCAGCGCGCGGGGCAGGCGCCCGCCCGCGGGGACAGCAGGACCACGTGCAGGAGCAGCACCGGGAGCCACCATGTCATTGTGTGGGGCATGGTCTAGGGGCTCACTGCCGCTCTGCCATGCGCCTGCCACGGAGAGAGAGCGGAGTCAGCAGGGACAGAGTCCACCCTGGCCCACACTGCACCTGTCTGGGAGCTGAGACTGCCCAGTGCTCCCCAAGCCTGTGGGCTTGCTAAGGCCCCGGTCCCTGCAGGAAACCCTCTGGATCCCTTTCACCTACTGTGCAACCTGGGGATCCTGCCCTGCGCAAAACTGGGATAAACGAGCCTCACTCTCCATCAGAACAGGGAAACTGAGGCAGGGGGAGAGGTTTGTGAGAGGAGCTGGGGTTGCAGACCCACACCTGAGGCTCTGCTCCCATTGTGCCCTCCCTGTGCCCCTGATGGTGCAGGCATGGGCAAGGGAGCACCCTGGGATAATGCGGGGCACAGACACCCCAAGGCAGGTCAGGAGCAAAGAGATGCTGGCAGAGACATCACCAGCTCGCCACACAGGCGGGATGTCCCATTCCCCATGGTGACACATGGGATGTCCCATTCCCCATGGTGACACATGGGATGTCCCATTCCCTCTGGTGACACATGGGATGTCCCATTCCCTCTGGTGACAGTCAGTATGTCCCATTCCCTCTGCTCTGGGATGTGAGGGCTCATCCAGGGCACAAATTCTCCCCAGGCCCCAGTTTGGAGGGGTCCCATAGAATGGGGGACACTCGGTGCCACTTGTAGGACCTGGTCCCCGTCCACATCCCAATCCCAGTCCCTGTCCCAGTCCCCATCCCACCCTCTCGGAGCCCAGATTAAGGCGGCCCCAGGCACAATCTTTGCCGAGGAGGGATTAACACCGACCCGCGGCGCCGTGCCCCGGCTGCCCTCCTTTCCAGGGATTAGCACTTCAGCACCGCTTTCCCTTTTCTTTGCTTTCCCTTTCCTGCTCCCTATCCCCATCCGTGCCCCAAATCTGCCAGGCTGCCTGGAACCGCAGCTCCCAGCGCCTCCACACCCTCCTCAGCTGCCTTTCCTTAATGAAGCACGGTCATTAACCTAATTAAGTGCCAGAGTTGCTCGGCTGGGGAGCTGCGGGGTGTTTTTTTGGAGCCCGGCAAGAGAATATTGGGGGTACCAAGAGCAGAGCCAGCCCCTCCAGCCACCCCTGTGGAGGTGCAGGGAGCGGGGCACTGGCACCTCCAGCATGGGGGGTCCCATTGCTCCCACAGCACTGGGACAAACTGGGGTGCAGTCTCTGAGGGCTGGGTCCAGCCCTTCTGACCTGCAGGGAGCCCAAGCTGTGGCCCTCACCCGCTCCTTTCTGTCCCTCTGGACACCTCAGGGACCCCAAACCTGTCTGTGGGAGCTCAGCAGGATGTGGGGCGAGGGAAGAGGGTGATGTGATATCTGTGGCTGCTGAAGGCCATCGAGGAGTGGCTGCAATGCTCCAGCTTTGTGCCACTGCAGGTCCTCAGTGCCCAAAAGGCCCCAAAAAGGCCCATCTTGAGGTGGCTGCTGCCTGGCTTAGGGGGTGACAGGAGAGTGATGGGGACCCCAGATCCCTCAGAGAGGTGACACTGATGGAGCAGGGGCAGTAGGAGCTGGCCCAGCCCAGCATCTCCTGCTCCTCACACCCACTGTGCTGACAATGGACACTAAAGGCTGGTGTCACCCTCCCTCCTGTCTCCATGGGCTGGTGGCACGTGGGAACCACCTCAGGACCCTGGGGGTTATTGACTCTTTGTGCTCAGGTCTCAGGGAAGGACACAACCTCCATGGATAATTTCCTGTCCTGATCCCATTATCCAGGAGGAGCAATTCTCTGGGAACACACCCATTGCTCAAGTGCAATTTTGTAAGGACAGGAGATGATCTTCAAGGAGTGTTTGGACAGCGCTCTCGGGGGTGCTCAGGGTGGGACTGTCTTGTGCAGGGCCAGGGGTTGGACTCGATGATCCTTGTGGGTCCCTTCCCCTCAAGATATCCCAGGGTTCTGTGATCGTTTACAGATGTGGGGATGTGGCACTGAGGGGCAAGTGATGTCCTTGGCAGTGCTGGAGGAACAGTTGGACTTGGTGATCTTGGAGGGATTTCCAACCTCAACAATTCTATTCTGAGTCTATGACACCTTTTTAATTTTTTTTTTTTCTTGTGTGTGTGTCTGTCTTAATTTTGCCACGTTTCCCTTTTCCTTCCAAGGAATCAAACCCAGAGGACAGCGTCACCATTTCACACAACCACAGGATTAACAGCTGGTGGATGCAGGGAGGGATGGGGGGGTGGGATCACCGACCCCACTGCTGCCCCTGCCCCCTTCTCCCCCCTCTCCAGCCCTGCTCAGCTTCACTGCTTGCACCAAACCCCCTGTGGGGACTGGGGGTCCCCAAATGCCACCTGGGCACTGGAGCTGCTTGGCAGCCTCCCCTTCCAGGAGAGCCACCTTGTGAGGGCTCTGCCTGGCTGGTGGCCCTGGGAACCTGAGCTGGCTCTGGGGTGAGGTGGGGGCAGCTGCCCTTGGTCCCCCTGGTTCTGGAGGCCCCACTCTTGCTCTCTGCTGGGGCTGCATGGGAAGGATGCCCCAAGCATGACCTGCAAAACCACAGGACAAACCCCTTCCCATTTATTGTGACACTTATTTGTCCAATTCAGTGTCTCCACGCTAAATAGAGGTGCCACTTCACTGGTGTCCCACGCTGGGCCGTGTCCCCGTGCCCACCATCCCTCCCTGCCAGCCCTGGGGGACCCAACCCTTCCCCTCCCTGCCTGAGGCTCTGCCCCGTGTTCATTATGGATGAGCCCGGGGTAACCCAACTCCACTTTTGGTTACTACTCCGGCCACCTGATCCTCTAAGCAAAGCTCCAGCCCCGCTGGAGTTGTTTTCCCTGGCAGATGGAGAGCGGGAGCAGCAGCCCTGGGCTCACCTTCCCTCTCCACAGCCAGAGCATCAGCCAGCCCTGCTGCACCCATGGGTGCTCCACTGACCCCTCAGCAAACCCCACAGCGGGGTTAAGGGCTCCTGCACGGCCATTCCCTGCAAATCCGAGTGAGGAGCAGGGCTAGCTCTGCCCCAGTGGTCTCTGCAGGACATCCCACAGAGCCTGTGTGTCCTGCAGGGCCACCGGGGGCCCGCGGTCCCTCTGTCCCGGGCAGGGCCAGGCGGAGCTGGGCTGTTTATTAATAGCTCATTACAGCCATTGTGCAGCGCTTTCCGGGCTCGCCCCTGGGGAGCCAGGGCAATTAAGATCCAGAACAAGGCCTAGATAGAGGCTCTTCTCCTCATTTAATTTATTTTTAAAAATAACAAGCTTGCTGCATGCAGGGCTGGGGACAGAGCCAGCAAAGCCCAGGGCTAGGGGGCTGTGATGGGGGAAGCAGAGAAGAACAATTTGGACAATTTGGACAATTGGACAATTTTGTGAGCCCCTGGAGCCTTCCCTGCCTCATTCCCAACATCCCAAACAAGATTTGTGACCACTGAGCTCCTTTTGTCCCAGCCACCAGCAGCAGAGAGGAGCTGCTGCTCTCCAGCCACCCTGGCTTGGGGTTACCCAGAGCAGCTGTGGCTGCCCCTGGACCCCTGGGAGTGTCCAAGGCCAGGCTGGACGGGGCTTGGGGCAACCTGGGATGGTGGAAGGTGTCCCTGCCATGGCAGGGGGTGGAATGAGATGGTCTCTAAGGTCCCTTCCATCCCAAACCATTCTGGGATTCCACAGATGGGATTTTGCTCCCTTTCCACTCTTCAAAAAGCTCCTGCTTTTCCAGCACAAGCTTGTCTCTGCCAGCTCCTCCAAGAGCAACTGCTCCTCAGCTGCCATTATTTCTCCCTTTTTGTGAATAAATACCAAAACCAGTCAGCCCAGGTTGCCATTTCCAGGCTCCCCTGCTCAGACATCACACGAGCACAAACACCTCGGTCAGAGCAGGGTTTTGTTTTATCCTTCCCTTGACGTGCAGGATGTAAAATGCTCCTGCTGAGCCCTTCTCCTCCCACCACCCCATCGCTGCTGCTCCAGGCCAGGCCCCTCATGGTGGGGCCAGAGGCAACCAGGGGATGCTGCTGCATCTTTCCAGGCACGCATGGGGATGGAGACCCCAAAGCAGGGAGGGAGCAAATGGAGCAGAAAGTGATGGTGGGACCCTCACCCTGAAAACAGGGGGGATAACCCCAGTGCTCTGTCACATGGGTATCAGGGAGGTGCCAGCGCCTTGTGCCAGTGCCAGTGTGTCCCAAACTTGGCATGAGACAGGAGAGGGCTCCTACAAACATCAGCAGCAGCCAAATGCTGTTGGGAACCCCCCCAAATGCTGCCTGCTCGCCTCTGCCCAGCCCTGCCTGGCAGCCGAGTGTCCCCACACCATCCTCGCTCCCTGGCTGCTGTCCCCAGCCTGTCACCGTGCCAGGGAAGGCAATGCCAGCCATGCTGGGCTGTGCCAGCCTCTTCACAGACACCATCACCCTGCTCGGGGCTGGGGCTGGGGTCGGATGGAGTGATCCCTGGGCTGATTCCCAGCTCACTGACAGCTGGCCAGGATTGCTGCTGGACTCTCCACCAGGACAAGCTCCGTGTGCTCCTGTCCTGGCGTGTGACCTGGATGAGATCTCGATTCCCAGGAACAGGAATCCATGGATCAAGCAGGCTCCATGGACTCGAACCTCCCCGAGCTGCTGGCAGGGGCTCGGAGCAGAGGATGGGACACTCTGGATGCTGATGCCAACAATTCCCTGGCTCCAAGCTCTGCCCGTGGGGAAGGGAGAACTGCAGCCAGAGCTGCCCCAGGACAGAGCTTCTCCAGACCTGAAGAGGAGCCCAGGCCTCAGTCCTGTGCCAAAGCCTGTCCAGACGTCTGCTCCTTCTTCCCTGTTGGAAAACCCTGAGCCCCCAGTTACATCTTCCAAAAACACCCTTCCCCCCATATGATTTTAGGCTGAAAAGGCAAAAAATGAGGGTCCCTGGGGTCTGCTCCATGCTCAGCTGGTGACACCACCCACACTCATCATGGCAACACAGGGCTGTCTTGGCACTGCTCAGAGCTGGCAGAGCAC